GCTTTCCCTTGGCAGAGGGGAGAGGAAAGGGCTTCCTGTGGACCCAGCAGGATTCACTCCGAATTGGGAACCCCCGCAAAAAGGGGAGCGGCCACAGGGGCCTGGCGGAGGGGGGGGGCTGCTGGGACCCGGGAAGGGGGGCTGCGGGGAAACCCTGCTGCTGCCGCTGCTGCTGCACGGGGTCCAGTGCCTCTTCCCCTACAGAAAACACCTTACTGATGGGGCTTCCCAGGGGGTCAACGGGGGAGCCAGTTTGGACTCTAGTCTGGGAGCACTGGGTTTAAGGACATCAGGGAAGCCCGTGTGGGATCAGGCCAGCGGCCCATCCAGTCCCAACACTCTCCGTGTCACACGGTGGCCAAAGATACCAGGGGGGCCACCAGGAGGTCCAGCAGTGATTCCCCACTCCTCCTCCACATGCAGCCCGCTGGCTGACCTTGGGTCAGTCACAAGTTCCCTCGGAGCTGTCCTCTCAGGAGCAGTCCTCGACAGAGCTGTGGGGAGGGGGAAGGGGAAAGGAGTTTGTGAGCCGCTCTGAGAATCCTCTGGGTAGGGAAGGGCCATGGGGGATAAATCCAATGTGTTTTCTTCTTCCTCCTCCTCCTCCCAATTAGTGAGTTTAAGGCTCTACCTTCGAGGGGGGGGGGGGTTTGGTTACCATGCTGAGCCAGGTGGACCCATTTCGCAAGTGGTAGGTCAGCCCCCTGCTTTGGTGGTCTCCCCCTCCCTCCACGGGCCTTGCACTTGCCCCCTCCTTTTCTGGGCGCAAAATGAAGTGTCGTCATTCTGTGTTTGCCCTCCGCGCTGCTTCAGGAGATGGACCACCCCAGTTCCCACTGGGCGGGCCGGCCGGTCAGTAGGCAGGAGGAGCAGGGCTGGCCTGAGGTGGCCGTGTGTCCCGCTCGCACCAGGTCAGGCCCCACCAAACCACAGGGACAGGGTCCTGTCCAAAGACACAGCCGCCTCAAGGGCAGGTTGCCTGCACACACACACACACACACACACGGCTGGATGCCTCAGCCCTTGCCGCTGAAGGTTGCCGGCTGGTCTGAGCAGCCACACAGGGGTGTGCCTCGCCTCCTCCGGGAAGCAAAGGGCAGCCTGCCTAGCAGAGGGGTGGGAGTTTTGTCTCAGGCCCGCCACCCAGACAGGTGAACAACAAAGGAAACTCCGGCACGAGCGTGGCTCAGGGGCAACCCTAGAAATAGCCCAGCAAGATGACCAGAAGATGCTGAAGGTTCTGGGGGTCAGCCTGCAGACAGGTTCTGCGGGAACTGTGGGATTCGAACACCGCTCACTGGGCTGGGTTCCAGGCACGCAGGGCGGGAAGGCAAGCCCCTGTCAGGTCGGAGGCCCCTCCACGGCTCCCTTTCCTGCTGGCCTCTGAGGCTCTGGGCTAGGGCAGGGCAGGGGCCCCTCCTCGTGGGGACACCAGGAGCATCCGCTGAGAGTGAGTCTGTCTGTCTCTGCCTGCAGGAGGAGGTGAAAGTGAAGATGAAGGAGCTGAACGAGCACATTGTGTGCTTCCTGTGCGCCGGCTACTTCATCGATGCCACCACCATCACGGAATGCCTGCACACCTGTGAGTGGCGCGTGGGGGGGGATCCATCCCATGGGAGGCTCCGTGCCTGGGCAGTGTGTGTCGGGAGGCTGGTGGCCATCCGTGGCCTTGCGCTCTCGAGGTCTGGTGCCGCATAAGGCCTCAAGACGTAGCCGCGGTCCCCGGCCGGTGCGAAAGGCCCTCCCAAACAAGAGCTTTTCCAGTCGAGCTCCAGATGCCCCCGTCAGCGTTCAAGACTGAACTGATTTCCAGCACGAACTCTCCCAGCTGGTGCCCATGGCAGGCGTCCTGCAGTTCAGAGAAATGGGGAAGAAGAAGAATATCCTAAAAACCAGAGGTCCTAGAATCAGAACATCTAAAAGTGACAGGCAGTTCTGGGCACCGGACCCCACTGAGGCCCAAAAGCAGGCCAGCGTCAGCAGTGCTGCACCTCTTTGCCTGCCGCGAAGTGCACCCCGGGGCCTCCGAGAAGCGCGGCGCTCTGGGCCCCCTCTCGGAAGAAAAAAAAATGCCGGGAGCCACAGGAGCCTGCCGCCTCCTGGTGAATCAGACCCCGGGTCCCTCAGAGTCAGGATCACCTCCAGTCTTTCCCACCACCACCACCACCCTAGTGCCCCATCCCGTGGACCGGAGATACTGCCAGGTGGGGGGATTGAACCGGGGGCCGCCTGCGTGCCGAGCAGATGCTCCGCCACTGAGCCAGGGGCCCCTCCCGTTTTCCACAGTCGCTAGCCAGCTGCTCGGAGGTCTGCAGCCAAGGCCCAGAGAGCAAAGCCTCCCCCACCCCACCCCAGGCCTTGCCTTCTGGGGCAGAGACCCTGAGAGGCCTGGCCCTCCAGAACCTGCCTGCTTCCCGTCGACAGCTGTGCTGGCTGGCTGGCAACGGGCCCCCACGCCTTGCGTGAAGAAGCCCGGGTGGGGGAGCAGATCCCTGGGTGAGAGGCGCGGGGGCTGACGGCCGGCCGGGGGCCTCTTCCTTGCAGTCTGCAAGAGCTGCATCGTGAAGTACCTGCAGACCAGCAAGTACTGCCCCCTGTGCAGCACCAAGATCCACGAGACCCAGCCGCTGCTCAACCTCAAGCTGGACCGTGTGATGCAGGACATCGTCTACAAGCTGGTGCCCGGCCTGCAGGAGAGTGAGTGTCCTCTGGGGGGGGCGGGAGCTCCAGGCACTCAGCCCCTCTCTCCCGGGCCAGCCGGCCCCAGAGCCCTCTCCTTCAGCGGCCAGTCCCCAGCTGGCCCCCTTCCCCTGCGTGGGGCGAGGCTCTTCTCTGGGCTGCTCCTGGTGGCGTCTGGCCAGGGCTTCCCCCCCACACACCCCACCCGGCACCTTTGACCGTCCCCCTCTGTTGCCCGCAGGTGAGGAGAGGCGGATCCGGGAGTTCTGCCAGTCCCGAGGCCTGGAGCGGATCACCCAGCCCAGCAACGAAGGTGCGATCCGGTCCCTGCCCCCTCACCCCCTCCCCCCAGGAGGAATGGAACCAGAATCTGGGGTGCGGAGGGGGGTGCCCCTTGGCCCTCTGTGCTGGGGGTGGGGCGGGCTGCCTGCCCCTAACGCTTTGCCGTCTTGTCCCCCAGACCACGTCTCTGACCGCATGGGGCTGCCGTGCACCGACTTCGACCACTCCCGGGCTCACTACTACCGCTTCGATGAACACGTCTCGCTCTGCCTGGAGAAGCAGGGGTCAGTCGGACGGGGGCCGGGGGGACAGCCAGGCGGGGCAGGCTCTGGGACCCCTCCCACTGAGAGCTCTCCTCAGCTGGCTTCCGTGAGCCCTGAGAGCGGAGGGAGGGAGGGAGGGCCCACTCTGCGTGTGTGTGTGTGTGTGCCGAGAAGCTGGGGGGGGGGCATCTTTTTGCTCGGGGGGGGGGGGGGGGAAGAGGGGGGGCTCCTCCTCCTTGGGGTCTGGCGCCACTCCCTGCTGGCCGTTCCATGTCCTTCCCTAACTACTCCTCCTCCTCCTCCTCCTCTCTCCTTGCAGCTCCGGGAAAGAGAAGAACAGGCACGTCCTGCAGGTAACCCGGACTGGAGGGCAGAGGGAGGGAGGCGGCTGGGGGAGGGGGTGGTGGTGGAGGCCTGGGGGGCCCCGCCCCCCCTGCACCCCCTCTGGCCGGGCACTTCCCAGGACGGAGCAGCGGGTGGGGGTGGCTCCTCCACACACACACACACACACACACACACCGCACCAGCCGCCGGGGCTGGGGCACCTGTCCCAGCCTCCCTTTGCTTCCTTCCTTCCCCAGCACAAGTACGTTCGCTGTTCGGTCCGGGCCCAGATCCGCCACCTCCGCCGGGTTCTCTGTTGCCGTCTGGAGCTGGCCCTGCCGCACGTGAGTGAGACCCGTCTGGGAGGGTCGGCTTGTTGGGAGGAGCTGGGTGGGCAACCGGGGGGGGCTGCCATAGCCCCCCCACACAGCGCTGCCGAGGGTGACGGCCCCCTCCTCCTGCCCCCGCAGGTGCACGTGCTCTTTGACAATGAGGTGCTGCCCGACCACATGACCCTGAAGCAGCTCTGGCTGTCCCGCTGGTTTGGCAAGGTCAGTGGGGCGGGGAGGGACGTGGCGGGGGGGGGCTGGCCACGGTCGATTGGAGAGCAGAGCCCCCTCCCTGACCCCTTTGCTTGCCAGTCTGGCGTGGTGGTTAAGTGCGCGGACTCTAATCTGGGAGAACCAGGTTTGATTCCCCACTCCTCCACTTGCACCTGCTGATGTGACCCTGGGTCAGTCACAAGCTCTGGCACAGCTGTCCTCGAAAAAGAGCCGTTTCTGTCAAGAGCTCTCTCA